TACAAATGCTTCATCCTACAAAATAAGCATACTGTATATTGTATACGGACTAGAGCCCTGCACGGGCCTCAAATAATGGCCCTAGCCCGGCCCTGGCCCGAGACGCTCAGGCCCTAGCCCGGGTCCGGGTCCGGGTCCGACAGCTCATCAGAATTCTTGGCCCGAGTCCGACCCGAGCCCGTGTTTTTCCCCCCTTCTGCCAAAACAGCTTATACTACCGTTTCAGCTATTAAAATAGCTCAGTTTTGTATGTAATGTCAAAGTGATTATATTTCGTTTTGTTTTTTAAGTTAATTTAGAAAAACGTTTGGAGCATTTTTTTTTCCGTTAAATGTAAGTTTTTGTTTTTTAAAGTAACGACCAAGCGGTCAGCGGCAGACATGCAGTGAGTTGATCATAGCCTATGTTTGATCAATTTAGTCTTCTCAAATCATCACGACTTGCCTAAAAGTGAATCTATAGATATAAAACAGTTCAAGCATATCACAATTAGGGCTGCACAATTAATCGAATTTCTAATTGCGATTACAATTAGGAATGCCACAATTACGTAATCGTTCAAAGCGGCGGCAATTAATCGTTCAAAGTCCACTTATGTTATTCTGTGTGCTTAAGATGTTTTTTTTTTCTTTCTACAGGTAATCTTAAGGGTTTTTCCACTGTTTTATTTCTATAACATTATAACATTTGAGACTTAATACTATAGAAAAGCAATACAAGTTTTTCAGTTAGTGTTTTCAGCTTGTTTATTTAATTTTTGCTCATAAAGGTAAGAATAATACATCACTCGGTACTGTAAAGGGTCTACTTTTATTTGTGGGCACTCACAATATCAACAAAACGTTGTGCTTTTATAAAATAAAGGAGACAAACGGGGTTGGCCATCTGGTTGTGCTTTTATAAAATAAAGGATACATACAGGATGCGCTTTCTGCAATTTCGGCCAGGAGCCTTCACAATGATGAACCGAAACTCAGCGAATACTTGCCTCACAGACTTGCTAAATATATCTATAGAAAGCTTTAAATTACCACTTTAAAACGAAATAATTAAAATCAAATACAAAAACTCTTTCATTATAAAATCCGTAAAGATGCATTTCTCTCTAAAGGTGCGTCCAATGAGGAGATGGCGAGTCAGGATCATCATCTTTGCAGATTCTGCACTGCACATGACCAATTGGCTCACTGTTTGCCGTAGTAATCAAATCAAAACTCTTCCAAAATGCAGCTTTTCCCGAAGTATTGGGAACTTTTACTAACTCCCCACGCTCCTACTTCTCCCTGATGCTCTGCACGGTCAACTGTCACCTGTATGCTAATACGTGCGTATATGCATTGCGTATTGCCTAGGTGATGTATAATATTTATAATATAATCAATATAACAATATTTCATACAGTAGCCTATGTGTGCTCTGCGCTTATATGGGCACAATAACAGGAGAGAAGCTAAATGAGTAAAACAGTAATATTTTTTAATATTTCTAGTTTCCAATTTCAATATAATATAAAATGTAACTTATTCCTGTGATGCACAGCTGAATTTCCAGTCTTCCGTGTCACATGATCCTTCAGAAATCATTCTAATATGCTGATGCTCAAACATTTCTTATTATCATCAATATTATAAATGTTAAAAACCATATTTTTGTGGAAAGCATGACACATTTTTTCAGGATGATTTGATAAACAGAAAGTTCCAAACAATAGCATTTATTTGCATTTAACATCATAACTCACTTTTGATCAATTTAATGTGTCATTGCTGAATAAAATTATTTAAAAATGTAAAAATTAAAATAAAAAAATCTTAAATTTTGTTTCTTTTTCTTAACCCATACAAATACCCATTCTTTCTTCTTGTTTTAAGTAAAAAAAAATCTCACTCAACTCTGTTACATTTATGCTTATAAAAAAAAAGCTATTTGTCAGTGGGGTAAGAAAAATACATTTAAGATATGTTCTCTGAAAACAAAGCTAGGCAAATGTATTTTGTTTGGAGGACTAGTTTGAGAAAATATATTTTTCAGTGTAACACTCAAAGGAAGTACACTGTCTTTTATCCTATTTTCAAACATTTTATTTTATCAAAGGTTGTAATATTGTCATTCAGCTCAGAGCTGGTTAGTTTGATTCATGGCTCAGAGCTCTATATTAAAGAATTTTTTGAAGTCTCTATGGAGAAAATGAATAAGAAAAATGTAAGCAAGGCCACTACAAAAGTGTGCGGTCACTGTTGTGATCTATTAGTGCAGCGAGCACTTCTTTTGATTCCTCTGAAACATTCATCCAGCTCAGTGTCTGTTTATTTGCTCTGATACAAATGTATCAGTCTGAGTAAATAACATTCACAAATCATTGTGTTACGTGAGTGGTGTCATTTTCAAAAGACAACACACTTCCAGCTACATACTATTGATTTTTAGTTATGTTCATTTTCCATACTGCAATTTCTATGCGATATGACTTTTATCCGAAACACATTCTCTACCATTTAGCCACACAATGTGATGGGTTCACATAAAGAGCAATAAAGCAGGATCTCCTCTCGGTAAATGATAACGCCCCTGGGGAACGGCACTGCAATGTATTTGCCACTTTTATCTCAGGACCTAAATATGTCAATGTTACATACTTGAAAGTGAAATGAGATCAGCACCCGTCTTGCATTATGATGTGTGTTACTAAACAATCACATTATCTCAAAACAGCCGCTATGTATAATGAAACAGCTTTTTTACTTATTAATACAAGGGTGAAATATTAATATCAACCGCTGAATAAAAGATATAATGGCCGTGAGTTCAGGTTTTCTAATCCAATTCATTTCTCTTTTTAAAAGTCTGTTTTCTTTTCTTTAATCTACAACAAAAGACAAACAACACTGTCCAAAAGAGCCAGACAGCAACAAGAGAACTGTGGGCAAAATGACAGACAAATCCTGATAGGACTTTCTAGGCAAGAACATGGTGCACTTTTCTTTTGTTCTTTATTTCTTTTCACTTGCAACCCCATTCTGCTTGAAAATAATTGAATTCCCATCTCTTTCATCATCACCAATGACTCCTGTCACATAAAAGCAGAAGAGAATGCCACATTAGAGGTTGTTTAAGGATTGCAAACGTTCTCATGCAACCTCATGCATGCAGACGTGAGATGAAATTTTCTCATTTTGCAATGAGTTTACACACTGTTTCCTAAATACAGTGGTGGATGAAGTACACAAATAAAGTACAAAATAAAATATGACTCCAGTAAAAGTACAGAAGTACTTGATTTTAAATGCACTTAAGTATTAAAAGCATAGGTGGAGCATGTGTAAGGCTTAGCCTTCCCCTGGCCACAGGGTCTTGGGGCAAAAATGCCACTAAATTAGACAAAAATGCCCCTGCACAAACAAATTAAATCTATTACGTCTGTTGCTAACAAAGTGTAAATGAATAGAAAGTGTCGACTGCGCATTAAATTAAGATTTGCTCATGTTGCACCGTATTTCATTTTCCCGCGAATTCTCTCATCATACACAACAAAGCGCAGATGTACGCACAATGTAAGTAAGAGATTCCTTTCGCAATGTAGACAGCTTCAGTGATTATAACGATAGTTTTGTTTTTTTGAGAGTGCCATAGATCAAAGTTAGTGATAATGTCGTTACTGTACATCATTTATTAGCTGTTTGAATAACCCTGGGAAGGAAACGTTATATAATTATGAATTTCTAATGTTTTAATTAAATTGTAATCACATTAAATACAAATTCAGTCCCATTAAACATATTTTATTAGCCTACATGACACCCGTGTCTGGTTCTTGCCGAAAAAGACAGGTTTATGATGTTTGTAGTTAATAGATTTGCAGGGGCGGTTCTGGGGGGGGGCCGAGGGGGGCCAGTGCCCCCGTGTCAACAAGCTTGGCCCCCGCTCTGGCCCCCCTAAATTTGGAATCGTATCACACAAAATAATATTGGGTGCAATGCGCAGTTTGTCCTGTGGGTGGCAGCAATTGAAAAAAGTAAAACATCACCAGCTGCTAGTGGCGCAGAGCCAGACACGTTTTTTACAGCGCTGCGCATTAAAATCAATCACACACCATTCTGTTGAGCTTATAAATGCAGCGGCCAATCAGAGGCGTTTAGACGAGTCATCGCCGAAACGCCAGAGTTTTGTACAGTGTGCACGCTCGCTGACTGAATTCTGCTCTCTGGCGAATTTTCTCATCATAAACAACAAAGTGCAGATGTGCGTATGAATGTAAGTAAGATATTCATTTCATAGTATAAACCGCTTCAGTGATTTTGATAGGAGTTTATGAGAGTGCTTGAACTCTGACTAGACTGAAGTCAGTGATATTGTTTTTGATAATGTAAATGTTCTTTGCTCTCTTTCTGTACCATAAAAGTGTTATAATTTGTAACTTACAATGTTTTTATTAAATTCACATTAAATACAAAGTCAGTTGTATTAAAAATATTGTATGACATGCTGGAGAAAATGCGGAAATGTATCGGCTGACCATTTTCACATCTTCTGGGACTGTAATATCATTCGTACTTACTGGCAGGATTTGAATAGAGAGATAAATGCAATAATGGGATTGAATCTTGAGTGTGACTTTAGAACAATGTACCTGGGACTGTCCTCTTCAAAAATAACAAAGAAGGATATATGTTATGCCATTTATATGAGTTTGAAGCTGTGATTTTGGTAGTTAAACTAAATTAAAATGAGAAATGCTGCATTGGCAGCTAGCTGAAATAAAAAATATTTTTTATTTTATTTTATTTTATTTCAGTTAACGTTTATTGATATTTGAAGTAATGAAAATGTTTTTTTTATGGTTTTAATTTTACTTTCAGTTTTAGTTAACCATAATCACCCTGTAAATAAGCAAACTTTTTTTTAATATACCATATAGTATTTTAAAAATGAGGAAAAATAAAAATACTTTGTTTCACTGTCTAAATCCAAGAAATCCTCACAGTCTCCAATCCAAGACTCACCTGATCTGCTGATTGGCCTCGCTACGGATCTTCAAAACCTCTTTGCCCTTGAGTTCCAGCTCCTTGGTCAAAGTGCTGATGTTCTCGTTCAGGGTGTGAATCTCGTGGTCCAGATCGGCAATGTGCTTCTTCCTGCGACTGACCTCCTCCTGCAGATCTGAGATGCGACTCAGAAGCTCGTGTTCCTGCAACACACGAGAACGCAAGGTCACGAAAAATGGCAGACTGACCTTACTTGAGAATGCCGCGTGTTATGCAAGAGCGTGGATTGTGTGTGGCTCTTCCTGAAACATCTGAATTCAGACACATGGAGTTCCCACAGATGCTATTTTCACATTGCACTTTGAGACTATGTTGGGACCTAACATTGATGGCACATCCCTCTGGCTCGCCTTGCTTATCCACTACACCTTCAAATATATGAATAGTTTAGTTATGAATAAATAAAGGTTGGGAGCAGCCAGCAGACCTACAGCATTATCTTTAGCACTAGAGTTTCATCTCTTGAGGGACGTCAGGAGCTAATGGGCCTTGAGTCCATGTCTGAAGTTACTGGGGAACAACTTTCGTCAACTTTCTTAAGTATTCAGTTACTTATTTAAAAAATGGCAAAAAATACAATGTTTCTGGCGATGTACTAGAAATAAATTGGTTTTGAAATGAGGCGGGGAAACTTCCCTTGCAGAAATGCATCTCAGAGCACTGAGAAAATGTATGCCTTTGAATAAAACACTGAACATAACAAAAATACCAGTATTAAATAAATAAATACAAATTCTGAGAGGATTTTTTTCAGAGAGGGCCCATGTTTGTAGTTTAGTTCCACATGACCATTTTCCACCCTCTCTCTGACTTTTAAAATTAAACAGGCTGTTTTGTTACTGTTAAGGATTTTCAAAATGACATCTGTTATGATCGGCCAAACTGTCTGCATACAAAATGACTAACAAGGATTACTGAAAACTGAATATGTTTTCTATGATATGGCATCCATTAAAACAGAGACACTCTTTAGATGCATGCTCACATGCATGCATCTAACTTTTAATATACAGCACAACACACAATACCCACATCACAAAGGGGTACAAATTAGAGCCTGACTCTTTAAAATGAATAGTTTAAAACACAGAAATTAAATATTATGGCAAAATGATAATGATATATTTTAGTTGTTGGATACAGTCGAGAAGGTCAGGACCTCTGAGGTGGGACAAGTTAAAATCTATTTTAATGGTTTAAAAATCCATTTAAGACATTTGATGCATTTAAGCTCTCAGGGTATGTTAACATTTTGTTAGGTAACAGTTTATCAAACATATCTAATAGTTCTCACTCCAAAAAAAACCCATCACATTCATGCCTCTAAAAAAAGTAATGGGACACCACAGTGTACTGTATTCACAGAAATTGCCACACAGGCTGTTCTCTACTGTAACGATTATATACACAACTGTATACGTCAGACTCCAGTACATCCCTGGTTAGATTAATTAGACAACACTTGTCTCAGGGGCAATTTTCCACTCCACTGGCACTTTGACTTTTAAATGCCTCATGCAGAGGAAGAAGTAGAAATCCTCCTGGAAAATACAGCTGAGCCCGTTTCCAGTTTTATGCAGTTAATGGCTCTTGCTTAATCAAATTACAATTTGCTCATCCAACTCTGAATGTCTGTAAATATCATTTCACACAACAAATAGCTCAATAACGGTATCAGTGTGTGGCAAAGAAAACCTGTAGCCCAGAGGGGCTTCCTATATTGGGGCCGAATTAAGTGATAAAGGATGCCAGTGTCAGCAGAAAAAGTAATAAATAGCAAACATTTGCATTAAAAACAAATTTGTGTATTTCTAATGTATACTCACTTAAATAATTACAAAAATATCACAGCCTTTGTAGACAACCGTGAATTACCCTGAAAGAGCATTTGTTAATAACTCCAAATCACGACAGATGGTTCATCTTGAGAATGAAGCATAAAAACAGCATGCTCACTTCTAAGAAAATTTGTCCAAATAGTAAAACTTTGAATCAGTGCCAATCTGTTTCTCCCACTCTGTCCATGTGTCCTGCAGCAATGATATCATTCTTTAAGAGCAGTCCATTTTGATATACACAGCAAAATCCCCAGAGTTAAATCAACTCTGCTCAAAGTGCATATTGTCCCAATCTACAGAGTGTTAAAGTAACACTGAAGCCGAGTTAAAGTTAATGGGAAAACACACATATATATGTGCTGTATGGGATATAAGTTATGGATCGACATTAAAAACATGACCTGAATCCCCCTGACTATTTCATGTTAATTAATGTTTCATGTTTTTCATGTTAACATGTTATTTGTGTGAAAGTACCACGACCATGGCCCCTAAAAGAATGTAGCTGAGCCTCCTGTATATCAACAGCATGTCAACAAAACATCTGCTCTTCCTGCAGATGTTGCATTATGTGCTTGGACTCAGGTGTGCGTTGGTCTTTATTCCCTGACCGCTCACTGGATGTATGTGTGGTGTCGATGTTCTGGAGCAGAGCTGTCAGGGGTCTGCCTGTGAGATTTTCATTTACACAACTCAAGACTGTGCCTCCAGCAGAACACAGGAGCAGCGCCTGGAGCACACGGCGGCCCAACTCTCTCTCTCGGACACTGATTATATATTTAGAGTCAGACTTTTTTTTTTTTTTACAGCTGCACTGTAATTTTATTGTCAATAATAATACTATATATAGTGAAAAACTTTAATAGACCTAACAAGACATTTCATGTAATTTTACAGTAAAATACTGTTAAATGTACAGACTTTAAAAGTGAAAAAGAACGTCTTCTTATAATTTACAGCAAAAAACTGAAAATTGACATTCCCAGAATTCCCTGTGAAACATTTAATCATTCAAACACCTGTTTCTTCTTAGGTTTTTTCTTATCATTTACTGTATGCACATTGGGGTTTTATGTTGCTAATGTTTATTGCATTAGTTTCATGTCACGTTTGTTACCTTGATAGTGTTTTGTACTTCTGTACCTTCTATCTATTAGTATTTACCTCCTCAGCTTGTGATGAGCTTTGATTCATTATGTGGCATTCTCATCTCTTCTCTCATTATGTGGTTTTTGAAGTGGTTGTCAGTGCATTATAAAACAGATTTTAGTACTTAAATAGGTTGGTATATTAACATTATATCAGTTAATGGAATACAGGTTGTTACTGTAAATTTAAGTTGAATCTGTAAAACTTAAAAGGTTGCTACCATATTTTTGCGGTAAAGTTCTGGCAACCACAACTTCTGCTTGTTTACCGTGAATTTCACAGATTTTTTTACAATGTGGTCAACGATAAAACATGAGAAACAATCAAATAAACACAGACTTCATAGGATCCAAGCCATATCTATAACATCGGAGACTTGAGGGTGGATTTTTTTTTTTTCAATTGTAACAGTAAGTAACTTCCTAGCAACCATCCAGGGGCAAATATAGTTTGAACTAGTTGGACTATCTAGAAGTTAACCAAGTGATAATCAATACTTTTCAGATTCAAATTAGACCAATATACTTTTTTATGTAACTGAATTTAAAATGTTATGGCCAGACTTGAAGAAAAAAAAAAAAAGATGACTAACTTTTAGTTAGTCTAAGTAGTTTATGTAACCAGCCACACAACCGGCCACAGAACTCTCTAGCAACTGCATAGCAACATGTTAAAAAACACTCACATCTTAGCAACCACACAGCAACTGATTTTGGACAAGCAGCCACCAAAATGTGTAACATATAAGCAACAAAACCAAACTGCAAATGAAATATATGCTTTGTCACTATGGTAACAAACTTGTTCTGTAATGCTCAAATTGCGATTTGTATCTTTTATTCATGAATGGCTATTTTTGCCTGGAGTGAGGACGAAACACCTGGATAATGGCAGGGAATTGTTACATAATGAAACCCACTTCGGGTGAATAATTGACTGAAGAACACACATACTCGCACAATGTTTGAAGAGTGCAATGAAGAACAGCGTGTTCAACAGCAGCCCGAGCATCAGGTCAAAATAAACCTTGAAGCCCTGGTCATCTAAACCGATCTCCACAGAGAGACCTTCAGCGAATGTCACATCAACCATCCACCTGTCATGACAGAGCTGAGCCCAGAGGAACAGTCATCTGACATTAGCAGATGGCCCGTTTCCTGAAGAGACGCGGCTTTAAAAGTCCAGCGCTCGTTCGACCGTGCGAAAAGAGGCCTGCTGAAACCTTTCAGCTCTTATGCCTGAAGTAGAAAGGGTATAATCTCTAACCTTTTCCATCAAAGACAGAGGCACCTATAAATGTCTCCTTGGAGGAGTACTTCAATGCATAGGATAATGTAAGCATCATTAATGTTGGCCCAGGCCAGGAGGCATGCAGACAGATGAGAGGAGGCTGATTATCAGGTGTCTGGGAGCATGTGTGGAGCTCTGCTCTCCTGGGCATAGTACCCAGAAAGCCCTGAGAGAGGCTGAATTTCAGTGTGCTGCTGATCAAAAGCTTGTCGATCGAGGGGGAGCCGCACAGGTCACAGAAGAGAGACGGGAGGAATGAGGGCTCATGGTGGCACTATAGCAGGATAAGAGTTATTCAACCACATATATGATTAAAACACAGAAGAGTTATTTATGTTACCCAACACACATTTTTATATACTGTAGAAACCTGTTTCCACCTCAAACTAAACAGGCAATTGTGAGATTAGCATAAGAAATGAAGTCGCGTATATATTCAATTGTGAAATAAAAATCAGAGTTATGAGAAATAAAGTCAAAAATGGAAGATTTTAGATCACACTGTGAGATCTTAAAGTCCTAATTATGCAAAATAAAGTTAAAATTGTGAAATATTAGGCTGCAATCGTAGGAAATAAAGTTATATTATGAAATATTGAATCTCATTGTAAGGTATAAAACCAGTGTGAGATATAAAATAACTTTATGAGATACAAAGTTGAATTATGAGGAAAAAGAGACAAAATAGTAAGATATTAAAGGGGTCATATGATGCTTTTTTAAAGATCATTATTTTGTGTATTTGGTGTAACAGAATATGTTGACATGCTTTAATGTTCAAAAAACACATTCTTTTTCAAATACTGTACATTATTGTAGGTCCGCTATGCCCCGCCTCTCTCAAACGCTTCGTTTTCTACAAAGCC